CTGGCAGGGAGCTGTGCCGCTGGGGCCCTGACAGGCTCTGTGTTCCCAGGGATGGCCGGGCGGCTCCTGAGGGGGCAGCAGGCAGAGCTGCAGCTCATCTCCGAAGGTGAGTGAGGGCAGCGGGCTGACAGCGGCGGCTGTCGGGGGGAGCTGCAAGCCCTGGCCCGGCTGCGGGGGGCTCTGCTCCCTGAGTAGATGAGGGGCGGCGTGGGCAGAGCACACCGAGATTTCAGGGGTACGTGGGGCATTCGTGGCCAGCAGCTTCGGGCTGATCCCCTTGGTCCCTGCTCCCTCCTGGCCATGGCAAGAGCCGGCTGGCATGGCCCTGGCAGGGGGCTCTCGTTGGGTCACCGCAGGTCTGGGATCTGACCGTGGCTCTGTTGCTCTCTCTTCCAGCCCTTGAAGCCATGGCAGGTGGCATCAGCCTTGAGGAGGGAAGCCTAGCCAGTGAAACCCTGGACCTTCTCAGGGCAGGAGACCGTGCTCCAATCTCTGTGTTCCTGAGGCTGAGAGATCAGCTCCACAGGGCATGGAGGTCACGGCCTCGTCCATGGGGCTGTGCCTGGCTGTGCTGCTGGAGCTCCACTGAGACGTGATCTGGGAGGCTCTGTCTACTGTGGCCGCCTGATCCAGCAGGCATTTTCCATTTATTTCAAGTCTGTCCATTTCGTGTTTTCAGTTTTCTGTAGTGTTTAAATATAGGATGTGTTCTAAGAAACAGACTGCAAGACTGTTCTTTTGCTGCCCAGGGTCTGCAGGGCATAGGGGAAGAGGGGGAAAAGGGTGCTTGTGCTCAGCAAGCTGCCCAGGTGTGCAGTGGTGCAGGGAAAATGGCCAGAAGGCCCTTGGCCTTTGGTGGTTGTGCTGAAGGCACAAGCCCTGTCCCAGCCTGACAGCACCGTCTGTGTCCTCCTGCCTATGTGGTGCTGGCTGGATTGCTGAGGGCTCCCAGGTGTGTCTTGATCCAGCTCCATGAGCAGCCTCCAGGTTTGATCTGCCTTGTTCCTGACAACCGGCTGCTCTGGTGCTTCCCTGGAGCTCCAAATTGGAGCAGGTTTATCTGAGGGGGGTGAGAATGGCAGGATGTGCCAGGACCAGAGCCCTTGGTATTTCAAGGAAGAATCCATCAATCCACTTTTCCAGGAGACCCCAACCCTCTGAATCACACCTGGGATAGAAATCAGCAGAATGGCTGGAGTTCTTGAGACCGGAATGCTGGGAATAAAATCTGGTCTTTAATTAACCCCATTTCCTGATGGGAAATAATCCAGTAATTTGGTTCCTGGAATTGGAAAAAGAAGGAAATGGTTTTTTGGGAGGTGCCATAGGTGCTCCTGGACAGGGGATTTCCCTAATCCATCCTTCCCTGATTGAGGAATGGAAGTTTGTGGGATGAGCCAGGATTAACAGACCCCTCCCTCAGGTGTGTGATCCAGGACTTTTCTGCTTTTTCCCAGCTCAGGTGAGCCATGTGCAGCATTCCAGAGGGATGGAGCTATCATGTTTGTAATCCATGATTTTCCCATTTTTTCCCCAGTTGTTCCCAGTCCAGGTGAGCCGTGTGCAGCCTTCCAAAGGGATTGGTTCAAACCAGGAAGGATTTTATTCCCTATGGGAATAAACCTTGTCTCTAAAACACTCCCAGAATGGCAAAATCCTGATTTTAGCAGCTTTTTCCAGCTCCACATTGCAGGAATTCATGGATCTGCTGAATAGTGGATGCTCATCCCAAATATTCTGCCCATTTGTCTAGGAACACTCCGGTGATGGTGCTGATACAAGTTGTGCTGATTCAGTCTTCTGAGATTTTTGGGAATGGTTTTATTATGTGATTTCAGGCATCTGGCGGGGTGGGGGGGGAAGGACACAAATCATTTGGAAAAATACCGGATAATGCTGGGAATGAGGAAATGTCAGTGGAAGCAAGCAGAAAGTTAGTGGGAAAAAACAGAATTTTTAAGCAGGGAAAAAAAGGATGACATTCCTACCAAATGCACTGGATGCGTATGGATGCTGAAAGCAGGCAGGGAGCACAGAGTCTAAAAAAACTGAAACTAAGTCACACAGGCTTCTCGCTCTGGAAAGCATAAGAAGGAATCCCAACAGTCCTTGTTGAAGGACACCAATTGGCAGGTGTTGTTTAGTCAAGGGCTGGTGTTCCACTTAAGCAATGAAGGTGATGTGTACCTTTAATGAGCAATAAGAGTTTTACCTCTCAGACCTTCTCGACCATGTGTATAAAAGAAGATTAAGAATAATAAACTTTGCTCTCTTGGACAACGCAGCCAAGGGAGTCAGTGTCATACTCCTCGCCGTTCCTAAAATAGTGCGAGAGAAAATAATAACTTGGAGGTGGAATAGGAGAAATTCCAACACAACAGGTTAGCAAGGCCTGGGAGGGCCCAAATTTTTCATTTTAGTTGGGAAATTTTTTGGTGCTTATCAATGTTATTGCATTTTTTTCTCCAAGAAAATCCCACTTTTCCTTTCTGATGGTACTGGCAGTCACCTCCTGTTTTTGTAGTTCTGATTTTGCCCATCCATATTCCCAAAAGTTTTTCGAAACTTCTGTAAAATGATGAAAATGATGATGGACTGTGGCCTTTTTACTTTCTCCTTACTTGTGATGCAATTGCAGTGAAAAGAAGAAGAAAAAACATTGATAAGAAATGGTCAAAAAAAAAAGATAAAAAGATCAGCATTTTACCATGTATCAGTGCCTGACTATTTGCTTTAAAGCTTTGTTTGGCTAGTGGTCTTTTTGCTATAAAATAGAATTATATGAAGCCCTGAGGATGTTTAAAAAGAAGAGAAAAAATAATTAAAATGTAAAAAATTGTTTTTCACGGGAGCAATCCTTTTAGAGCATGAAAAAAAAAATCCCACAAAAAGAATAATAGTGTAAATAATCATATTCATAACTGTATTAGTAAAACATTGTCATTGTTCTGAATATTTCTTCTTTGTAGCTTTTTGGGGACTAAAAGTTTGCAACTTTATTTTGCTATTTAAAAGACCTTATTTTCCCATGTATTATTCTGGAGAAGAAAACTGCTTTGCTTTTTTTTGATTTTTAATTTTTATTCCTTTGAGTTGTCAGGAATTTTCCTGGTTGAAAAATAAAAAAATAAGGAGAGATAAAGAGATAAGGGGAAAAAAGGAAGAAAAAAGGTTAAAATAAAGGAAAAATCTCTTGAAAATATAAAAAAATAAACAAAAAAACCCCAGTTACACTGTTTTCAATGTGTGACTGAGTGCCTTGATTTTTCCATGTTTTTTGGTGCTTTCAGGATTTATAGAGCTGTCTGGACACAATGTTGAGCTTGGCAGAGATTCCATAGCCGCTGGAGCCATTCCCAGTTTTTCTTTCCACCTGTAGTATCTGATGCCGTCATGTACATGACCATTCTGTAGCAGTAACTGTGCCATTTTTCAAATTCCTGATGCCTGGAATGATGTTATTCTATGGGAATTAAGAAGGGAAGCTGGAGGATCTGAAATTCTCTATGCCCGGAATGTGTTATTCCACAGAAATTTTGGAGGAGAGCAGGAGGATTCCAAATTCTCAATGCCTCGAATGCCATTATTCCATGAGAATTTGGTGGGAATTTGGGAGGGGAGCTGGAAGACTTAAAATTCCTGAAGCTTGGAATGCTGTTAATCCCTGGGAATTTGGGAGTGGAAATGAAGGATTCCAAATTCCCAGTGTTTGTAATACTGTTATTCCATAGGAATTTCAGGAGGAAAGCAGGAGAATTCTAAATTCCAGACACCTGGAATGCCACTATTCCATGGGAATTTGAGAGGGGAGGTGGAGGAGTCAAAACTCCTGATGCCTGGAATGCTGTTATTCCATGGGAATTTGGTGGGAATTTCAGAGGGCATATAGAGGAGTTGGAACTCCCGATGCCCAGAATTCTGTAATTCTATGTTTTTGGTGGGAATTGGGAAGGAGAGCTGGAAGATTTTTAAATTCTTGATACCTGGAATGCCATTATTCCACAGGAATCTGTGAGGGGAGCTGGAGGATTCCAAATTCCCAATGCCTGGAATGACATTATTCCATGGATATTTGGGAGAGGAGCTGGAGGATTCCAAATCCTCGGCACCTGAAATGCCGTTATTCCATGGTTTCCATGTGCTGCCCAGAAAATCCAACCCCCAAGTTTCAAATCCAACTTTTGACTTTCAAATCAAACCTTTGACCACGTAAACAATCTTGGAACTCAAGTGCAACCTAGACAATCAAATTTAACCTTAAAACACCTGGGATGGGATGGGAGGGGATGGGATGGAATTGATAGGACCAAGCTTCTTTTTTTTTTCCCCAGAATGCAAGAAAGACAGTCAGAAAAGCAGAAGGAAACATAACAGTATCTCTGTACAACTGAATTGTCCTGGGAAACTCAGAAATTGATGGTGTTCTGGTGCTACTGCCAATCCCTTCCATGGAAAAAATTCATTCCAGGAAGGAGCAACATCATCTGACAGATGCCCAGAGTTGCCAGCAGTTGCTCCAGGAGCTCCTGCCATCAGCCCCTGCAGGAAGGAGCCCAGCCCCCAATGCACTTGGGCTTTGGCTGCCCTCTGGCACAGAAGCCCCCCAGGGGCACAGGTCTCTGGGGCAGAAGAAGGGCACCAGCACTGCCAGGGCTCGGGGGGTGGCAGGTCTGCTTCAGTGGGGACTCTGCCACACCTGCTGATTTCAGTGCTGGCTGGGCCCCAGGGCTCAGAGCAGCATTTGTGCCCTGGCCCACACGTTCCATGTCTGTGTCACAGCCTGTGTGGGTTTAGGATGGTCACCAGACAGGACGTGTCCAAAGGAGGCTGTGCCAGCTTCTGTGCAAGGCCCCGTGCCCTTCCTGCTGCGGCTGTGTCGGCAGCCCTGGGGCTCCTTCTGCTGCCCTGAGCCCGCAGAGCAGGGCAGCGTTTGCTGATGGTTTGAGGCATTCCTAAATATCCTGTTGGGCTCATTCAATGTGTTCATTCCTTGTTTTCTCACAAACCAGAATTTCTCATTCCTAAACCTTGTCCAGATTGAGGAGGAGGCTGTGAGGAAGAGGAAGATGCCCCAGGACACCCGGGCAGGTGAGGAGGAAGTCAGTGCCCTTTTCCCCCTCTCTCCTGCTCCATCTCCCAGCCCAGCATGGCCCCCAGCTGCAGGACAACCCCGCTGCCGACACCGTCCTGCCGGGGATGCACTGGGGGGATCTCCTTCCCCTTCCCTCTGGCACGGAGGCAAATCCCATCCTCTCCTTGTCCTTCCTCCCCCAGACGTGGAGCTGAGGATGGAGACCAGAAAGGACAAATCCCCACAGCAGAACCTCATAGACGAGGCTGTTTTGAGTGGCTCCAGAGTGCAAGAATCCAATAAGGAGGAAAATCCCTGGAGATCCTGCAAGAGGAGGGGCTCCAAACCCCTTTTCCTCTGAGGAGGAAAGACCCACCCTCTGACAGGATGGCAGCCAGAGATCCAGCTGGGGCTCTGAGCTGGTGGTCCATGAGCAGCTTCAGGATGGGGAGAAGCCCTATGAGTGCTTGGAATGTGGGAAGAGCTTCAGCCAGAGCAAGAGCCTGATTTGCCACCAGATGATCCACACTGGGGAATGGCCCTATGAGTGTAGGGAATATGGGAAGGGCTTCAGCTGCAAATCCAATCTCATCATCCACCAGCGCATCCACACTGGGGAGAGGCCCTACGAGTGTCCCCAGTGTGGGAAGAGGTTCCAAAGTGGCTCAGATCTCCTCCAGCACCAATGGATTCACACAGAGGAGGGGCCCTTC